TCTGTTTTTCGGTTTTTAGAGACAGGGTTTCTCTGTGGCTTTGGAGTCTGTTCTAGTACTAGCTCTTGTAGATCAGGCTGGTGTCAAACTCACAGAGATCCACCTACCTCTGCCTCCCGAGTGCTGGGATTAAAGGTGTGCGCCACCAACGCCCAGCTAGGGCAGCTTCCTTAACAACACCATGAGCTGGGTTGCAGCCACCAGTAATAGTTATCAGCATCTATGGTCCTGGGTCTCAAGAGAATAAGAAAGGACCGTCTAAGACTAGACTCCTTACTTTGAATCTCTCCTCGGGTGTAAGAGGGAGAACGTCTTCCTGTCACAGAGACAACCCACAGAGGAGGGTACAGATGATGAGAAAGCAGAATGCCACCCAACTGCTCCAGGAGAGGCAGAGACGTTTACACAGCAGGCCAGCTATCCAGCCATGGGTACAGAGTCCAAGGAGCAGTGTGTGATAGAGACCTCAAGTTTCAGTGGTTCTTTCTACTCAAGCCCTGCTGCACTGAGGGACATGTAAGGTCTATAGAATGTGAGCTCTTGGTAACTGCTGAGCTTGCCGGAGAAGACTCTGAGCCTTGGTTTTCCAGTCAGGAAGGCGCTACCTCTGTCAGGTCAGGACAGTCAGTCACTTGGAGCATTCTGGGCTAGGCATGTTCTCCATCCTAGGGGATGATAGGCTAGAAGACTGAAGTACCATCCTTTCTTCCTGGGGGCAGAAATCACATTACTTCATGTGATCACTCAGCCTTGCTTCCGGATGTACCTGAAAAGCATGCCACCCCACACTTCCCGATAAGTTGAGTGTCGTAAGGCTCATCAGTGAGTACCCCAAATAAAGAGAAAACCTACGACCCAAGTGACAACAGCCTGACCATCTGTCCTTCAGTTCTATCCCCAGAACTGATGGGGGAAGTCCTGTACATTTGTTAATAAAGCACTGTTGAGCCAATAGAAATCTAGATAGGTGGGACTAGGAGTCCAGGAGGATTCTGGGAAGGAGAAACACAAGAGAGTTCGAGATGTAACCATCATGGGGTAGGAAGCCCGGAACTATTCTCTGGTAAGAGAACTACTTAGATTAACAATTATGGGGTAATTACTTAAGTCAGAGCTAGCCAGTAAGAAACAAGCAAGGCCAACAGCTTCATAATGAATATAGCCTCCTGTGTGTTTATTTGGGACTGATAGGGCCCTAGAACCAGGCTGGCGGGAAGGCTCCTCTCAAAGCACAGAACCCTTTACTCCCCGAGGCTCTCCTGGGGTACTGAAGAAGGCATCCATCCCCAGACCATCAGGGAAAGGGGCAACTGCCTGTGCAGGTGAGAGAGGAGGTCACCTCTGATGGAAGGAACCCGTCCCCTGGTCCTCCTATGGCTCTGAAACTGGATGGGGCACAGGCAACAAGCTTGCTTAGACACAGAGAAAAGGGCTTTAGGATGGTGCAGCACTGCAGACAGGGTTGTCTAGGATGAAAGATGACATGGGTCATTCTACCGGGGCTGCTCAGGACAGCGGACTTTCACGTCCTACCCTGCTCTGTCCTTTTCTCTGGGCCAGGAGCTTTTGCATTAGGGCAAGTGGATAGCACTTGGGGACACTCCTGAGTCACTATCAAGCATGGTGCGAGGCTATGGAGGAGAGCTCTCGGGGTAGGCGAGAAGGCTGGCCCTGTCTAGGGGCTGCACCAGCCTGAGGTCTGAAAGCTGCTTCCAAGGTCCCCAGCGGCCCCTGTCACCATCTCTGATGAGTCCCCTCATCCCAAACGAGGCTCCAGTGTTCTCACATTCAGGAGCAGAGTGGGGGAGAAGGGAGGTGGCGAAGCGGGGAACACTATTTTTAGTACATTCAATGTGTTAGGCACTAGAGACTTCATGTGAAAATGAGATGGATACTAAGTATCTGTAATATGAATTCAAATATTACATAGTACCTAGTACAGCGGCTGACAAGGACTGGCTGCTGTGTACCCAGTAGCTATTACCATTATTACTACACTGTGTCACTGAATGCTCAACAGCCTTATTTTACAGCAGACAAATATGGCTCCAGAGGCAGGGTTTCAGCTCTAACCCGAATCCAAAGTCACTCTACCGCAAAAACAAGACCGAAGCTGTAGGAAAAAGAAAACAAAGCTATAGATCTTCTCCCTAAACCTCAAAGGCCCACAGAAACCAATTGGTCCCTTGCTCATGGCTGATAAGGGTTTTGAAGTAGATGGCACACCTTTTGTCCTTTCTAAGCAGTAGTAGACTCAAAGCTCACCATGGGAAGACACTGCCCAAATCTTCCTCTCCTCCATCCCACGGCACCACTCTGACACCATCCCAGAGCAGAATGGACTGGCTCCAGACTGGCATGGCTATAGGAGCCTACAGGCCCCACCGGAGAAGAGCCCAGGAGTGCAGATACCCATGCCTCCACACCTCCTGCCTCCACATCTCCTGCCTCCACTCCTCCTGCCTCCACATCTCTTGGCCACTAAACCCCCTAGTGACCTGCACTGAGAGGTCCTGCTCAGGTCTGCTCCTCTCTGACATTCCAACACTTTCCAAAGAACCATTCCCTGTCAAGAAAGCTGTCAAAGAGGCTGGGTATGCAGCCCAACTGGTAGCATGCTTGCCTACGAGGCCCTGAGTTCCACCCACAGCACCACATTGTAAGCCAGAGCCAGAGTGGCTGCAGACACCTGCAATACTCAGTAGAGGCAGGAGATCAGGAGTTCAAGTCCAGCTTATATATTCAGTCTGAAGTCAGTCTGGTCTGCCTGAGACCCTGTCTAAACAAGAACAAAAGAGGGCCAATGAGATACCTCAGCCGATATAGACACTTGCTGCCAAGGCTGATGACCCAAGTTTGATCTCTGGGGACACGGTGGAAAGAGAGAATGGACCCGTCCAAGTCGTCCTCTGACATCCACACGCCGGCCTCGGCACATATGCCTCCATACACACAATCCCCGATACAGATAAGTAAATGTAATTTTAAAAGCTTTTTTTGTTGTTTTGGTTTTTGTTTTTGTTTTTGTAGGAAAAAGGAGAAAGGGGGCAAGAGACTGGTCACACAGTTCCTTCTAGTTCTTGGGGCCTGAGGCAGGAGGAGGATGGAGAGTTCAAGGCTAGCTGGAGCTACACAGACAGTCTCGGCCATCCAAAGCTACACATTGAGACTCTCAAAAACAAAACAGGAACCTGCCACAGCAGGCTGCTGTGTCTGAGTTATCCTGAGCTGGCCCTTCATACAGTTCTCAGGCAGGCTGATCAGAACATACTCCCTCTTTTAGATACACATGGGAAGGAGGTCAGAGGCAGAATGCAGGACTTTGCCAGCGTGATGGTAACATTTAGATGGCAGTGGTTCAGATTCTCATCATTTCCCAATAGCTACACTCAAGAAAGGGCAGGGGCACTGGTCACAGGCTAGCCCTCCATGGCCAGATCCAGGAGTCTGATGCTGTGCACAGTTAGTTCTAGACCTGGGGTGTAGTAGGCCAGTCCTCCCTGAAGGAGAATGCTGCTTTCTGGTTAGGTGTGGTAGTGCATGCCTCTAATCCCACCCCAGCACTCAGCAAGGAGAGGGGGGAGGGGAGGAGTTTAAGGTCACCTGAGAGTCAGCATGAGGACAGTCACCTGGAGAAAGTGTGACCTCAGAGACCCAGACTCCATCCTCCTCCCCAAAGCCGGCAGGTATTTCCAAGTTACAGTAAGCATAAAGTACATCCTGGACGCAGCAAACTAAGCCTGGGCGCACCACTTAAGGACGTTCTCAAACAGGGCCTGAAAGAGGGCAAGCACCATGACTTCCCTGGCATGCCATCTGTTGTGACAGGGAGTGGGAAGTCACCAGGGAAGCACTTGGTAATGGATAGCTAAATGACACCCACTAGGTGACTCAGAATGTGACCTTCCACCAGAAACACATTAGACACACACACAACTATACTGGCAACACTGGGGATACAAAAACATTATGATTGGTGGAAGAGGCTAATAGTTACATAGCTTTTTACAAGAGTTAAAAGACATGTGCCCCAAAACAACTCTATACATTTTAAGGGACATACGTGTACAAAAAGATATCTTAGACCATTAGAATGCTGCCCACAGGCAGAGAAGAGAACAGGAACTGGGGAGAGATTGAGCAGAAAGGGGCCTCAGATGGACTGATGCTAGCAGTGGGCCAGGAATCCACAGGTTAAATAGTCCACCCCAATTCACCTCCAAGGGCCAAAACTATAAACCACACTGTTAAGCATGGTGGATTCCATCTGTAATTCTTAGCACTTGAGAAGCTGAGGCAGGAGGATCACTGTGAGTTTGAGGCCAGGATGGCCTGCAGAATGAGACTACGTCTCGAAAACAGTACCTAGCCAAAAGAAAAAAAATACAACATAATGCCAAAGACATTTCAATTGTGGAATGGCTGTGCTGTCTGGCGATGGCATAACAGGGACAGCAAACCTCATCCGGTCTGTGGGAGGCAGGAAAGAGGTAACCTGAGAGATCCCATGAGTTGATCCATGACTGATGGCCTGCTCCTCAGATTCAGCCTGTGTCAGAGACGTCAGGATACATTAGATGACAACAGGAGCTGTGTGGCATGGGCAGGGAACAGCATGTGGGAAAGGAATGTGTCTTCCTTGCAGCTCTACCTCCACTCCCAGCTCCACCCTATAATAGCACTAATATTAGCAGGACATGAACAGGCAATTCCCTGGGACCCAGAGCTATGGGAAGGTACTCTCTTCCAAATCATTCGGGATACACTGGCTCGGGTCATCTTCATCCTCTTGTAACTAGATAACTCTCTCTCTCTCTCTCTCTCTCTTCTCTCTCCTCTCTCTCTCCCGTCTCTCTCTCTCTCTCTCCTCTCTCTCTCTCCTCTCTCTCTCTCCTGTCTCTCACTCTCTCTCTCTCTCTCTCTCTCTCTCTCTCTCTCTCTCTCTCTCTCTCTCTCTCTCTCTCTCTCTCTCTCTCTCTGTGTGTGTGTGTGTGTGTGTGTGTATGAAGAGGAAAAAGCATAATGCTCTGTTGGTTAAGGAGGTTGAGAGTGGATTTTGGGCGGTAGAGGCAGTGGTTCTCAACCTTCCTAATGCTGCAATTCTTTAATACAGTTCCTCATGTTATGGCGACCCCTAACAATAAAATTATTTCTTTATTACTTCATAACTGTGATTTTCCTATCATGATGAATCGTGGTGTAAGAATCTGATAAGCAGGATATCTGGTATTTGACCCCCAGGTTGAGAACTGCTGATCTAGAAGGTCTGGCATCTGGGAAACGGGCAGCCTGGCTGCCCCTGCCCCCTGGTCATGAGAGATGCCTGGGAAAACAGTCAGCTGGAGTGCTTGCTTCTCATGCCCCAGAACTGAGGCAGGAAGCTGCTGGGCCACACTCAGCGCTCAAGGGCAATGGCATTCAAGCATTCAGTATATACACGTTCTCGGATGACATACATTGCCTTTCCTGGGGCCGCTGTGGTTTTTCCACACATTGGTTCCAAGGGAAGAAAGGAGTTCTTTAACAGCTGGATTGCCTCTGAGGCTATTTTTAGAAACAAATTTCATCAGATTCTGTTGTGTTCTAGGAGAGAAGTAGAGGTTCAGTCTCTCTTGGCTGTGGGAGTATGGGCTTGCATGCTGCCTTATCTACCACAGAGGAGTACCACGGCAGCTGCTGTGTGCCTAGGAAAGACAACAGAGTGACATTGCTGCGTCACGTAGACACTCACTAGAGGATCACACGGTGGTCATCCATTTAGCCCCTTCAGTCCCATGAGTCCCACCTACACATAGACCAAGATATCTCACCACCCTGGCCTTCCTGGATTTCTCAGCCCAACTAGTACCTGGAAGACACTGGCAAAGGAGTGAGGTCAGCTTGCTAAAAAGATGTTATTAAGAAAACAAACAACAACAACAAAACCCCAAGACAAAACTGGGTGTGGTGGCATAGACAAACATTCTGTCAAAGAATATGGATCCATGCCATGAAATAGTCATTGATGTGGGATTAAAAATAGAGGGTTAGTTTATTTAGTGGTGGAAATATTCTAGACATCATTACTCTTAAGGCTATAACATTGATACTGTCCATGATTTTAGCAGAGTTTACAGTGATATTCAATAGCAAAAAAGTGGAGCAGGAGAGATCCCACTCCCTCCCTCCTCCCATCAATGATTGAGGAGGGTGGGAGAGCTGGCCTTGACGTCATAAGGGCATAAGGACAGGAGAGGAGCAGTCCCTGTCTCCCACCAGCTGCAATACTCAGGACCCAAGACTGTGCCCCTCTCCTGGTCAGCACAATAGAGCTGATCCTGTTGGCAGAGGTGTGGGTGAGAACTGCCCCCTTTTCTTATCTGACAGCAAGGGTAGCTGGCCCTGAAGCCATAAGGGTGGGAGAGCAGCAACTGCCCTCCCCACCAGCTGAAACACTCTAGAGGGCAGGTCCTGTACCTCACCTGGGCAGCACTGAAGGCAATTCTGTTGGCAACTCAGTCCTGTAACTGTGAGCATGGGAGAGCTGTCCCCATTACTCATCTGCAATATAGCGGCATGGGCAAAGGATTGATGCCCTTCCCTTCAATGCCCATTAGTGCCCCAGGCTTGTGGGAGAGCTGGCCCTGAGGCCAAAAGAACAGGACAGTTGGGCAAGCCTCTGATCAATGCTGCACTTCGGACAGAGGCTCCTACACCACACCTGGACAACACGGTAGAGCTGCCCATGAAGGTGGGGTGTGGGAGATCTGACACTGAGGTCTTGAAAGCAGGAGAACTGGTCCTGCCTGTTGCTCATCACTGCAAGGGGTGAACTTGCCAGGACAACACAGGAGAGCTCACCCTGGTGGTGAGGACAAGGGAGAGCTGGCAAGCTGAGCAACCCTGCAACTACCCAGGCCCAGAACCAGGCATATGAGTTGACCCAACCCAGCATCCACCCCATCTGTGATCTACGGGAAGGGGCCAGTCCTGCAGACCCAAAGCTGCAGGATCTCCACAACAGAGACACAGCATGATAATCAAGAGGAGTTCCCCTGCAGCCCAGCAGCGATAGTGTTACACAAACCCGAGACCTGGAACAGCAGCAATGACTCTGCAATGAATACTTGCAAGTAAAAATATATGAATAAAAGGGTATAGTCATGGTTGAATGATTTGAAAAATGAATTCCTTACCTGGTTGTTTCTTCTTCTAGTTCAATAATTCTTTTGTTCGAATCCTCCAAACTGCGTGCCAATGTTTGAATCAGTTGCTTCTGGAAAAATTGCATATATTATAATATTATTTATATGATTTTAAACATTTCTGTATCACATCCCCTATCCCCAAAACTCAGTGATCATTATGGAAGAGGAGATGAAAAGATTCTTAAGAGTGCAAGGCAGTTGCTGGACACAGCAGAGCAGTAGCTTCTATAAATTCACAGCAGGTGAGACAGCATACAGAAGACCTGTGCAGGCTCATGGCCAACAGAATTCCAGCAAGGAGATGGAGGTGGCTACAAATACCCACCCCTAGCCAGGAGAGGTTGGCATTGATCCATGGGGGAAGGATGAATGATGTTCTCTAAGGGTAGAATCTTTGCTGGGTTGTCACCCTCCAGTGGATGCTACACATCCAAACGTGTGTGATGGGGAAGTCCTGTGATTATGTCAATAAAGCACTGTTGGCCAATAGGGAAGCAAGATAGGTGGGACTAGGAGTCGAGGAGGACTCTGGGAAGGAGAAACACAGGGAGTCAAGATGTAACCGCCATAGGGTTAAGAAGCCCGGAAGCTTTTCCAGTAAGAGAAACACTTAGATTAACAATTATGGGATAAATACTTAAGTCAGAGCTAGCCAGTAAGAAACAAGCAAGGCCAACAGCTTCATAATTAATACAGCGTCCTGTGTGTTTATTTGGGACTGATGTGGCTCTGGAACCAGGCTGGCGGGAAGGCTTTTCTCTCTACATGTGTGTGCATCACAAGTTGCACATAATGAGTTTAAAGAAGGAATAAAACATGCAGCTGAGTGTTTGGTGAAGTGAAGGCAGGTATGAGATGAGTTGGGGAAGGGTCATATATCATCAAAATATTTTGCAGAAAATTCTCAATGAACTATTTAAAATTAGAAAAAAGACTGTACTATGGGAAATGTGCTTGTCTAAATGATCTAGTCTATATTTTTATAAGAAAACTATTACAAGTCACTAATACTCAAGATTATCACAGAAACACTTAAGTTATAAAGGAAATCCAAATTTTCATTAAATATTTATACCTAAAAAGTATACATTATTTTGATGTTCTGACATGGATGAAAAAGAAAGTTTGACATTAGTTTTTCCACACAGCATTGTTAATAATAGCCAACTACATGAGATCCAAATGTTCACCAATCAGTAATGGGTAAGCCAAGTATGGTAAGTATGAAATAATGAGTTTAGACAATCACAATATTCATCATTAATTACTTCCAGTGGGACTTGGTAGCTTATGCTTTTGTTTTAATCCTGGAAGTTGAGAAGTAAAGTAAATCACTGCATGAATTTGATATTAGCTACATAGTCACTTTCACAGAGGCTAGCCTGAGCTCCATAATCCCTGTTTCAAAAACAAACCGTATTCTCAGAGTAAGAAATTACACAAATTCAGAGAAATATTGTAAGACTCAGAGAACCTGAACTACTATTCACAAACAGTTACAGTATGATTATATTATGTGTTTGACCAGGGAGAAAATTCATATATCCTAAATGTGGTTGGGTGCTACTGCTATACACAGGAAAATTTCTTCTCAGTCTTTCAGAAATTAATACAAAATGGACTTAATTAATAGGGCCTACTTGAGTTTTCCAAGTCTTGTTGAGGCTCCTCTGATTCATGCCTTGATTTTGCTAGTAAGTCTAAATTTTCAAGCTAAAGCCTAAAATAAGTATTTCAGAACTATTGTATTTACTGCACACATTTGAAAATACCCAATTAGATTCTGAACAAAAGTGTGAATAATCACAGGAATTCTGAACATTTTTGAAATATAGTGATTTGGAAACTGTCTTTGGGTGGCTGTTTGTCTGTCCAAACTGTAGAGGTACTGTCCCAACCTGCAGGACATTCAACATGGGTCTGGTGGACACCTAGGAGAAAGATGGAGGACAGGGGATACAGGAATGGACGCCAAGACAGGATTCTGATCAAGGCGACAACTTTATTTCATCCCAAAGGGTTTTATATAGGAGAAGTGAGGAAGGGAAGGGGGGAAGGTGTACTTGCAGCTGCAGGAACAAGAGGTCAGTGGGAGAGGTGGTCTCGTGCATTGCCTGGCAACCTAATCTACAGGGCAATAGGTCAGGGGTAGGAACACCTATGTTGCTTGGTAACCTGACAGCAGGGTCTGATCCTACCTATTACAATTTACTATTGCTCAGGCCTATCTCCTGAGGATGTTGTAGTTTTCCAATTAAGCTAGTCTTTAACTGACAGATAAACTGCAGGCCTGTTTCTTGGAATTTGCTTTATGTCAGAATAGGTGGCAGGGTGGTCTTAGTGTCATGTCTTCTCTATGAGTATGTGATACAGCCTAGCTGACTGATGGCTGGAGGTCCCGGACATCTCCCCCTTTCTGGTTCAACAAAAATCAGGTGCAGCCAGAGTGTAAGTTACCCAAAAAACCACAAGGATGATGGAACCTGTCTTAGGATCGATCTGAGAGGCTTCACCCCTTACCTGTCATCGGATTACTTTGCCAGCCTTCAAAGCTCCTGTCTTGGGGGTGGGGGAAGCATCAGAAGGGAGCCCGTCCATGGTCAGCCATCAATAGTGGTGGTTATTTTGTGGGTAAAGGGGCCTTCCAAGGCCCCTGGCTGGGGCTGCAGGGAGGGGGGCACAAGCAGATTACATGCCCCAGGGGAGTTTGTCTCCTGTTATGTGGAGACTGGGAACATTAGGCGAAGTTTGCCTTCCTCCTTGCCATTACTTTCATCAGCTTTCTGATAAGGACCACTCTCCTTCGTGGCCAGCCTCTGATAGTAGATCTGGATAGGCCTTGAGACATGATTATCTATTTGTTGTTTAATAAAGTCTGTCAGATGCCTAAGGACCCATGGGCTAAAAGAAATAAGCAATATAAAGCCTAAAGGGGGGGGGCCAAAATGTTGGGTAATAAGGTAGATAGCCAGGGAGAAGTAAAAAACCAATTATTATACCAACTCTCCTGTTGCTCCCTCTCTCTTTCTTTTCTCTAGACCCTCTCTGTTTTTCTTTATACTATCTTTGACTCTCCCTGTTTTGTTAACATAGAAACAGCATTCTTCTTTAAGGGCTGCACAGATTCCTCCTTGTTAGAGAGCACAAGGAATGAAATCCTAGTGCCTGCTCCTGTGGCTCCCAGCCCCAAAAGCACATCTTGTTTAGAATAATAGTTAAGGTGGGGAACTAATTTAACTAAAATGTAAAACATAGGGGCAGAATTTAGGAGGTGTGAGTAGATGGAGGTGATAAGGCCATCCTGACAGGCCCACCGTTCTCAGGGATCAGATAAGCGGAGGAGTTAGTATCCAGGAAGAGAGTGAGGTTGCAGAGGTGAGGATGGGTTGAGGGAATTTGGAAACTGGGCAGGGAAGGGAGCTGTACAGTCAGGAACACTGGTTCAGCATGTTTCACTGGAACTGGTTTGGACAGCTTCCCATGGTTTCAGGTCTGGTTTTTTCTTTGCTCCATGCATCACACCAAGTTTTTGGCAGCCACAAAGCTTTTTTTCTTCTCCTGTAAGAAAACACAAACATTCCCTCCACCCCAAATTGGGTCTTTTCCACTGTCTAGTGTATGGATGTTTTATCTGACCAGAGCAAAGTCACTAGAGTTCCATCATGCCAGAATCTGTCTGTAGCAGATTGTTTTGCTGGCATCCACATTTTAAAAATTTAAAATGAAGAGTACATGATTTAATGCATCATATGGAGACAAAGGTGATTTTATAGTCATTTTTGTAGGCAGCATGTGACTAAGGTTCATTGTGGAGTATGTCTGAATAGCTACTCCCACGCCTGCAGAGCCAGTGGCTAAGGCCCGATACTCCAAGTTCCACTAACAGGGGGATGAATTAGATGGCTCTCTTATGTCTAGGAATAGGATAATCTATGGGCTCACTTCCTGGAATAAGCTCCACATCTGGGAGAAGGGTAGCTAACACACATAACCCTGTCCAATTTGTAGGCAACATGGAATAACATTTAAAAACTTACCAGGTGGAGATCAGTGACATTACTATTACTCCCCCTTTTTAGTTTTTAGAAGTTACATTTTTAAGGAGCTATGAGCATGCTCTACAATTCCTTGAGGATTGTAAGGAATACCTGTTGATTAATTTTCTATTGAGTACAAAATAGCTGAATGTCTTAATAGAATCTCCAGACCTATTGTCTGTTCTTTATCACCTTTGGAACTCCCATGCAAACAAAACATCTTAAACAGTGACTTATCGTATGCTTGATAACTTTTTCAGTTTGTGTGGTGGCTATCAAAAAAAACCTGAATACCTATCAACTTCCATGTGTACATATTATAACTTGCTAAATTCTGTAGCATGAATGTATACATTTATTGCCATAAATAATTAGGAAGCAGGCCTCTAGTATTCACTCTTAAATTTGTTACAGATAAATATTGTGGGCACACCTCATTGTTTGACAATTTTGACAAGCAGTCTCTCTAGTTAAACCAAATTGCTTTTGTTATTTTGATGATGAAAATTAATGAGACTGTAAATCTCTCTCCACCAGAGTCAAAGCCACCAACTTTGTTAATTTATTTGTTGACTCGTTTCCCCTAGTCAGTGGGCTGGGAAGGTTTTAATGAGCTCTTATGTTACCCACAAACTATGGCAATTGCATTTTGAATTTGTTTAAATAAAGACAGTACTGAACTGTCTTTATTATTTGGTGCTGTGCATCAACCTTAAAGATTCAAACCAACAACAAGTGCACACCTCCCCTGGGCTTCAACAACCAAAGGAAAGCATGCATTTTAGCTAAACTAAGAGCAGAATAGACACTCTGGTTTAAAAAGGGTTCAATTGCTATCAATGATACAAATTCTCTCATGTAAGGGTCAAACTGGAATACACTCAACCTATTCAGCAAGATGCTTTCATCATGGAACCCTGTAGATGGTCTCCATCTCCTAACAGCTTTGAGTGTTCATACAGTGCCCCATGCCGCATGCAGCTACAAGAAGCAATAGCTAGGCGCTACCCATGGCCCTGCTCCTAAGACAGAGTACTGTCATCGGGCCTTTCCTGTCATGGTAGACTAGAAATGCTCTTTTCTCTATCAAGTTGACCTGTCAGACAGCATCTCTGATGTGAGGAAATGTGATTGACACGGGAAGTGGGTGTCACATCATCACTGCTATGATGAAACTGGCCATGTGCTTCTTAAACTTCTGGAACATATTCAAGGGCATATGAAAGGTTCTGGAGCTATGGTTTACAGAAGGCCCAGAATAAGATCAGCCAAATGAGTCATTCTTATGTGAGTCGATGAGACCAGACTGCTCATAAAAATGCAGACATCAAGGGCTCTGATCCTGAGGTTTCAGCTGTTACAAAATACTCATCTGGGAAGTCTGACTAAGGCATAGACAAACATTCTGCCAAGGAATATGGATCCATGCCATGAAATAGTCACTGATGTGGGATTAAAAATAGAGGGTTAGTTTATTTAGTGGTGGAAATATTCTAGACATCATTACTCTTAAGGCTATGACATTGATATTGTCCATGATTTTAGCAGAGTTTACAGTGATATTCAAGCACCAAAAAAAGTGAGGCAGAAGAGAGAACTCACCCCTTACCCCCACCCATCAATGATTGAGGAGGGTGGGAGAGCTGGCCTTGACGTCATAAGGGCATAAGGACAGGAGAGGAGCAGTCCCTGTCTCCCACCAGCTGCAATACTCAGGACCCAAGACTGTGCCCCTCTCCTGGTCAGCATAATAGAGCTGATCCTGTTGGCAGAGGTGTGGGTGAGAACTGCCCCCTTTTCTTATCTGACAGCAAGGATAGCTGGCCCTGTAGTCATAAGGGTGGGAGAGCAGCAACTGCCCTCCCCACCAGCTGAAACACTCTAGAGGGCAGGTCCTGTACCTCACCTGAGCAGCACTGAAGGCAATTCTGTTGGCAACTCAGTCCTGTAACTGTGAGCATGGGAGAGCTGTCCCCATTACTCATCTGCAATATGGCGGCATGGGCAAAGGATTACCTTCAATGCATGTTGTCAGCCTTGGTGAGGTGACATCATTTTCTGAGGTGTGCACAGTAGACCTACAGGGTTTTGCTGGATCCACTTGCTGGGGAAGGGCCATCTCTAGAAGGATCCTCAGCTTTTTTTTATGGCTTCTTCCATAGCTGCAAGGAGACCATTGCCACCTTCCCCTCTCAAGGCAGGACCAAAGCACTCGGGCCTCAGGATGAGCAACCTCACCACAACATTGCATTCTCTTCTACACTCTCTCTCCTGCAGTCCAAAGAGTAACATAAACAAAATACAAGACTTTCAGGGACCATATATCATAAGCATTTCTCATTTAAAGAAACATGTATATCTTAGAAGTAAACTATAATAGTAAATTCGGCTTTTAAATTGTATGTATTTATGGGGGTGGGGGAGGGGGGTCAGCTCACATACCACATGGAAGCCAGAGATGAGCCTGCAGAAACTATTTTTTCCTTCTACCCTGTGGGTTCCAGGGATAGAAGTCAAGGGGTCAGCCTTGGCAGCAAGTACCTTTATCCACTGAGTCATCTCACTGGCCCATAAATTCAACACTCAACACACATCACAACTTTTATGTATACTGTTGTGGTCTGCATGTTGAATGAGCCTCAGAGACTTCTGTGTCTGGATACTTGTCCCCAACAGACACTTCTGTCTTGGGAGTTTGTGGAGGATGACTGGGACCTGGGACCTAACTAGCTATCATAGGCTGTCAGAGAGGGCCTTGAAGGAAATTCTGCGTTCAGATACCTGCATTCGGCTACCTCCTAGCTCTCACTATTTATTTCCTGGTTGGTGCCATATATGAGGCCGCAATGCTAGCTCCTGTCAACCACAGACGAGGCCGTGCAGTCATCTTTCCTGCAGGGATGGACTGAGTACGCTTCTCCCTCAAGGTGCCTCTACCTACTATTCTGTCATATCAGTGAAAAAGGGATATATATATATATATATATATTACTTTCTTTGATAATAGTTTACAAGTAAAGCCAAATATTACAAACTATTTGTTATGGAAGAAGATATTGCAATCTCAACCCTTAAGAGACAATTGCAAAAAATCTAGAAGGTACATGCAGATTTCAAGTTAATCCATGTAAAAATGTAGTAGAGTTATTGCTGTGGAAAGAAAACTATTAAATAAAATATATAATTTCTTATATTCACTTCCTTTATGAAAAAGCTATAATGTACCCTTATTTTTCATTTTGAAAAATATTAATTTTATTTTCAATTATGCATACACACACACACACACACACACACACACACACACACACACACACACACGAGAGCACAGACGCCCCAAAGGTGATGTCAGTTCTCTTGGAGCTGGAGTTTCAGGCAGTTGTGAGCTGTTCTAAATGGGTGATGGAAACTAAAATTGGGTCCTTTACAGGGGCAGATAAGTGATATAAATCACTGAGTCATCTCTCCAGCCCCAGAACCCTTATTTTCGCAGTTTTTCCAGTCTTCGAGTACTCATGTCCTACCGTTACAGAAGACAGCAAATCTGAGAAAGTCGAGGTATCTCTCTCCTTCAACTGGATTCCACCCAATGTCTGGGTAACCCTTAGACACCAGCATCTGACAGCTCTGCAGCACACAGCCAGCCAGATATCAAACTACCTGCAAATAAATGATAAGCAAGGGGTTATCCCTCACTTGGAAGTAACCTGAGCCTATATTAAGTCTGGTGAGTGAGATTATCCAGAAGTGGTTTAAAAGACACGAATTTCATTTATTTGTGTGTATGCATGTGTATGTGTGAGTGCAGATACTCAGGGATGCCAGAAGAGACCATTGGGTTTCCTAGAGTTGGAGTTATAGGCAGCTGTCAGCTACTTGATGTGGGTGCTCGGAACAGAATTTGAATCCTCTGAAAGAGAAGCAATCACTTTTTTAAATTAATTTTTTATTTATTTTACATATGGACCACAGTTTCCCCCTCCCTCTTCTCTTCTGTTTCCTCCACCTCCCATTTACCCCCCACACTGGGCCATTTCTCTAGCCCTAACAAATGTATCCTTTTTGCAATTCTTTTTAACATCATGATAACTGACACAAATTCTCTCTAGTTAAACTTTAATAATAAGACACACTAAAATATAACAAAGAATAGCCATTATGAGTCAATTCTATAAGAAAGTAACGTCCTTGAATTCCATATCACATAACCCAAGAACTTTGCATACAAAAGCCATAATATCTGACACATCTCTGAATGTCTAATAGCCTCTGACCCAATTAAAAACCGCCTGAGTGGATCCCCCATAACTCAGCTGGTAAAGAGGGAGACTGAAACTATCTGAATGCAGGAACTCCTGTCTGAGATGCAAAGGTATCTTGGAGAGAACTGAGTCATTCATCCATTCAGTGATGGAGTAGGCATGAAGAGGTACTTAAGTGAGAGAACACTAACACAGAGGCAGATCTCAGCTCTGATTAGACATGTCTTACTCACTGAATGCATCATTTTAGAGCACGTTATTTATACTCCTTGAGTCAGTGCCAGAGTCTGTAAAAACTTGATATATACACTATCTGCAAACCAAAAATCTAAAATCCCCAAAGCTGTGACATCTAAAACATTTTTTAGTGCTGACATGGAATCACAAACAAAAATGTCGACATATGACTTCAGATGACAGGTCACATTCAAAAGGCAGGTGCACTCGAAACAATCAAATACTTCATTATGTGTTCGCACTAATTTTTTGCAATCCATAAAATGCTAACAACACCTGAGTCACAATGGATTTCAAGCATCATGGACAAAAGATACTCAGTCTGCCAATCAGCAGTACTTTTCAGTGCTGCTGAAATTAGCACATGAAAAATGCCTGCCTGGTTTATCTTTAGGATATTTCATTTCATGACAGACTATGGACACTGCCATGGAGGGCCTCACCCTCCCTGGGGGAATGAGGGGATAATGGGGGGGCTGGGTGGAGGGCACGGGAGGAGGGGAGGGAAAGGGAGAGGGACCTGGAACTGACTTGTGAAGCAACCTTGTTTCTTATCTAAATTTAAACTGAAAAATAAATAAATAAATAAAAGATATTTCATTTCATAGGCGTACTAACAGTGCTTAGCATTTCATGAGGGATTTGGGCATAAAGCCATAGCCAATTGTGACAAAGTTTTGCAAGAATAATTTGACAAACAGAGTTCTATCCAGCTTAGAAACAAATGGTATAACTAAAACTTTTATGTCTGTAGCATTGAGGCAAATGATGATCAAGAGGATGATCAACTTATAATACAGATTCAATGTAGTTTGAAAGGAGAACAATTCTGGAAATACCCTACAACGTCCCATCTTCCTTCCAGGATACACTTGCAGCCCCTCCTTCCCTACACATCTAGCCCCCAACATCTCCTTAGTGGGGGTATCCAGTTGCTCCACATTTTTCCTCTACATTTGGTATTATCATGGGTTAAACAAACAAAAAGATTTTAAGTGATACATAGGAGCAAAGTCTCCTCTGTGAATCAGAGATATGAAGCTTCCTGGTGCTGATCTGGAATATCAGGGGACTGGGGAAGAGCTCACTGCCTTACACCTGTAACAGGGACATACAGGTATCCCTCAGAGCCAACACCTTCTCTGAAGCTGGGCAAGCATTTGCAAAACTGCTGATGTCACCAGTAGCAGTATCAGTAGGAAGTGGGTTTTTAGAAACATATATAAAAATAGCAATGTTTAACCTGCATGTGAGCTACCTAACAGTGTCAACTAGTGATGGAGCTCCTATATGATCACAGTTCTCAAAGAGCACAGCCTCTAGAGAGGCCACAGATGTCTTGTTTGGGGGAGGTACATTTTATGATGTTTGTATCACAAAGATGCTATGGAACTGCGTTTCTCAGAAAGTTTTCCTGATAAATGTTATACGAATATATATGTGATATATATATATGCATGTATACATATATACAACACAAGTGATCATATGAATGGAAACCAATTGGTTGGCCCTGTAAAATGCTGATCCATCAGTACATCCATTACGTACTGTGAGAAATTAGCATGATGGAAGGCAAAGACAGGTTTTGGACAAACATCTCTCCCTCTCACTGCAATCTCTTTCTTTTGCTGCAGCTCATCAACCTCATACGGAGCCAATCTTGCTACTTCTGGATGTTCCACATAAAAACTCTTCTCAAACTTGGGGAGATCACTCAAATCCCACTTCTTTTTTTCATAACCGCTCCCCGGGATCACCAAACGTTTTTGGGGGAAGGCCACTACCACCTCTTGCTCCAAATCCTCCACAGTCTCCATCCCGATCCCAGTCCCAAAAGCCTCCTCCACACATGGTCCTAAATGGGTAGAGATCTGGGAGCGGGGCCAGGATGGCCGAGCTGAGCTTCTGGCACATTCGTGAGGACAAAAGTTCAGACCCCAGAACCCATTTATAAAAGACAGACAAACAGTAGCAGGTATGTCTGTCATTCCACTGTGGTAATGAAATCTTGTCTTAAATTGGGTAGAAGGCACATACTGATACCAGAGGCGGTCCACTGACTTCTCCCCCCCCCACCTCTATCACTCACACACATACACACACACACACACACACACACACACGTTTCCCCCCCTCTCTATCACTCACTCACACACGCACACGCACACGCACACACACATACCTACCTGACACTAAGACTTTACAGTTGGAAAGTAAGTTCTCTTGACAACAGAGTTTCAGAATACTTTTCTCCAGGAATTCTGTGACCTGCCATCTTTCCTATGGCACATCTGTACACACTTATATCTGCCCTTATTTTTCTCTTTAGCACTTTCTCATAAAGGCATAAAGCATAGGTTTTAGTTGCAGCAGCATGAACTCTTCTAATGTGTCAAAAGGAAAAGTTGCAAGGTAAGGTAAGATCAAGTGAAGTGCCCAATAAAACAACTCTAGGCTTTGTTATCTGAGGAAAACTTTCCCCCAACCAGTGCCTACAAGGGAAACACTCTAACATGGCTCGTTCATCCAATGGAGGACCCATTTCCCATGAATCAACTCTCAGAAGTGAGGGTAATGGAGTTCAGGGCATTATAGATCAAATATGCCATAAGACAGAACTTAGTCCAACATTTGGCTAAGCGCACTTTTCCTGTCCTTGGGACCACAGAAAATTAACATGGGAACAAGAAAGGCATTATGGCTCTGATCTGACTTGCTCATGCACTTGGAGGGGGACAATATAAGCTATTTTGAAGCCTCTGGCCTCAAACTTCAAGAGCTAGATGAGCTATCTAAAACTTACCTCCCTCATGACATGTGAACTACTGGTACAGGATGAAAGAGGTCTAATAACTATTATTCTGTAGATGTAACTCTGCAGGTGTTTTGAGTTCATTAATCTCATTACCATCAACTCTTGGGTTTAATTCACTTCAATTTTTAGGCATTTTCCCCAGAATTAGGCCTCTAAACTAATAAATGAACATCACTCACAACCAAGAGACAAAGTCCAGCTTTTATGACTTAAGGCAACTTTCTGTGTCTTCCAAACACTAAGTGTAAGACATGCCAAGGTCACCCAAGAAATGTCATATAAAAGTAGCTTCACATGCCTGCAACATCCAAGTGATTATCAGCACCTGAAAACAATAATATTATGCAAAATAACACTATTATTATAGGAGAACTGAACTTTGAAGTAAACCACAGAATACCTACTTGTGATCTAGAGAAGGAAATACAATTTTTAAGAATACATCATTTGTAATAAGTATTCAGATCAGTACTGAGAATTAGCAGCTGGTATCTTGAGCATATATATGTGCAATGTTAAATTTCCACACCTGTCAAGCCATGCCATGATTGGACTAGTCCCGGAACTTCTGTTTGACTGGTTTTTACACTATCTCACCAGGATCTAAACTAGTCATTGGATTGTATGGTTTTTATGAGGAACATTATATCTTTTCACAAACCAATTAAAGAGATTCAAAAACATCTGAGATTCTTGCAGTCTGTTCATGCACTAGAATGTTATTTTTAAACACACATTTGTAAGTTTCACAGCCCTTTGGAAATGTGCTCAATTGTTTTCTTTTTCTGTCGTGAAAAATCTGCTTTTTGTTAAACTTTTGTAGTCACTGAGTGGTGAAGGTCTGAACAACAAATGTTCTCAGATTGCAGAAAAGAAAGACAGGGCACAAGACTTCCACGTGGAAATTGTTTAAGGAAAAGGGACAGTGCCTACCTAACCAGAGGAGAAGGCCATCAAACCCACAGGAGAAGAGGTCATCACCAACGCCATTGCCACCCCACTCTTCCCCATACCCAGGCAGGGGTGAATGTCCTTCGGTGGAAGCCCAGCCCACTCTAAGTGAGTAGCTTCTGCTGTCACAAAAGGTTCAGTATGGTCCACCATGAGTTCGTAGTACCACTTCTTATACTACGCAGACCCTTCACTGACACCCAGGAAAATATTAGGCCTCATGCTTTTAGACAGAAAAAGACAGAGAAAACTTCCAATGGCTTCTTTAATCATCATTCTAAATACTGTTCCTGATTATTCTCTACAATGTACACGGCATTAATTTGACAGGCTCTAGAATCATTTAGGAGACCAACATCTGGGCACATCTGTGACCATGTTTCTAGGTTGAGCTCACTGCGGTGGGCATTAACATCCCAATGCGCTAGGGTTCTGAACTAAATAGAGATGAGAAAAAGCAAGCTAAGCAACCACATCCATCTCTCTGTTCCTGGCTGCCCATGCAAAGTGCCCCTCCATTTCTGTGCCTGTTGCCATGCCTTGTCCCTCCTGCGCCCACAAACTACAAGCCAGAGTAAATGCTTCCTTCCCACATAGCCTTTGCCAGCTACTTTGTCATGACAACAAGGAAAGTAGCTGATTCAGCAGCCAAGCCTACATTTTAACAATATCACAGAATTATAAAACCCATCAGTGAGGTGCTACCCAGGCCAACAGCACCCCCAGTTCACTGAGGTGATAACCCAGGCAGACAGCACCCCCAGTTCACTGAGGTGATAACCCAGGCCGACAGCACCCCCAGTTCACTGAGGTGATAACCCAGGCCGACAGCACCCCCAGTTCACTGAGGTGCTGCCCACGCCGACAGCACCCCCAGTTCACTGAGGTGATAACCCACGCCGACAGCACCCCCAGTTCACTGAGGTGATAACCCAGGAAGACAGCATCCTCAACTCACCTTGATTGTGCAGCACCTGATGTTGGGTTTACTTGACCAAGCCAATCCAGAGTCTAATAGGACTTTTTTTTTAACTGATCTTTTGAAATTTTCATATCATTAATCAAATGTAGTTTATAAAATGAGATACTTGATACAACAGGATCACATAATAAATGGAGCTGTTATTAAGCCAGGACATGTGAATCTTCCTCATGTAAGTGCCATGTCACATGGACTATGATATGATCAACAGTTGCACATGACTAATGAGGATTGTTGCTGTCTGTTGACTACTTACTTCCTTTGGAAAGAAAACGTTTTGGCAAGTTTCATTTAAGCCCATTTTAAGAGTGGGCTTACATATCTGGTGATCCCTGAACAAGTGGAGATAGCAGAAGTACCACTCATTAACATCAGCCTTATCTCCTGTTTAAACAACACAACTCAGGGAGCCTGGAGAGGTGGTTCAGAGGTTAAGAGCACTGGTTGCTCTTGCAGAGGACCCTGGTTCAAATCCTAGAACCCACAAGGTGGCTCACAACTGCCTATAACTTCAACTCCAGAGGATCTGATGCCCTCCTCTATCCTCCGGGAATGTATGTAGTATATACCATGCACTCAAACTCAAAGTGAAAATAAACAAATCTTTTAAAAGCTGCAGATCTCACACCACTTCTGTCTATAGAAGAATACAGTGACAGAAGCTTATGGAAGCCCATTTACTCTACCACACAGAGCATTGTATTGGCATGCTTTTCTGGTACTGATTTCTTTTTAATCTAGAGGGATTTAAAAAAAAAAGACAACAGGGTATATTATTCACTAGCTCAGCTTCTGCAGACAGACCCAAGCATCACCCCAGTCCCACCGTCATCATCTACAAAAGCAAGAGAAAAGCAGTACCAAAAGAAACCTCACAAAATACAAACAGCACAGGCCATAGACAAATCATAGCACTAGGTAGCTTGTAGGTGACACTCATCACTGTCAGATTCCCTAAAAGGCTGATCCAATAGAAAATGTCATTTCATTAGCTATTTAGTTTGAAATGTGTTAGGCTTGGAGTACCCTATGATTTTTATCACCAGTAGTGGGCACATAAGAACAGTGTGACTTCCTACAAACTACCTACAGCTTAATCTGTATATTAATTAATGCAGCTACAGCCTGCTTCTGAAGATGCCAGTGACAACTTCTCTACACATGAAAAGTGAACAGAAACTCTTACAAATATGTTTGCAGTAAGTTCTTGCTTTGCTCAGTTCACCTATTGTTATTTTACTAACCTTTCTACTTGGTAGACAACAGTAAGTGTTCAGTGGGGGGGAAGGACATACACAAACCCTTAGTAAAACAAACAGACCTCCTTCTGGCTTCCCTAGAGAGACAACTTGCTGTGGTGTCAAGAGACAACAATGTCTGTGGGAAATTACCTGCTGACATGATTCACAAGACGGGTCTGCAGTAAGAGATCTCGTCCTGGCACGAGATTGTCACAGATGAGATGCTGGTTAGAACGGAGAGCAACCCCATGGCAAGCACAGAGAGAACACAACACATCCAGGACCTGGGGAGAGTCAGCACTTTAACAGACTCTGAATTCATCAACAGCACTTTCCACAAGGCAAACACAACCCCAGCTGTGATTGATCCCATCATTTCTCCTCTTTCTCCCTTTCTCTCCCTCTGTCTCCCTCCCCCATGATGTACATGTGTATGTGTGGTGTGCATGCATGTTCAAATATGTGTGGACATGCATGTGTGTATGTGCATGTGAAAGGCTGATGTTGGGCATCTTCCTGAATCATTCTCCCCACACATATTGAGGCAGGAACTCTCACTTGAACCCAGAGCTTACCAATTTGACTACTCTAGAACCAGCTTGCCTAAGGGGGGGGGGTCTCCTATTTCTGCCTCTCAAGCACTGGGATTACAGGAAGTGTCTCAATTTCCCAGCATGCATGCGGATGAGGGGGATCTGAACTCTGGGTCTCATGCTCTCACGAGCCCTTAACCATGCCTCACCCACAGCCTCAGCTTGGTCATTTTAACATGACAGTGTGTGTCCCAGTGGCTCTACACCTTTCTTTCACATACAGAGCAAGAACTGTTTGTACTCTCTCAGTTACGATGACTATATAAGAAACAATCTTACTCCATGGTAACTAAGGATGAAAAACAGTCACGAAAACTTCAACATCTTGAAATTATCTTATGTTGGCATATATCTCAATTTATTAGTTTATTTTTGACTGATACATGAAAACGAAACCATACTGATATCTAGGCTTTCAGGTATGCTTCGATGCATGCATATGTTGTCTGTTTTAAATCATTTTATAACATGTTAGATATTTTGATCTCTCAATGTTTTACTCCTTTTTAGCTTGTTGGACATTTATTCCATTTTTCTCACAGGTGTATATTTTCACTAGGCAATCACATGCCCATGGCTCAAATTTCCTATCATTTCATTATGGAAAAAAGCATTTAAAATCCTTTCTTCTAGCCTTTTGCAATATATAGCCCACTCTTCACTATGTAATGGTTTTAGAATTCCCCTATGGAAATCAAGCAGCTCACTTACCTTGTGATTTCTTCCATGCTTGTCTAAAAGTGAGATGATGGATTTGATATGCCCTTCCTTGATGATATTCAGAGCTTCTGGGATTTCCACTAACACACAGTGGAGGACCTCCAGACAAGGAAAAGGGAAAAGGAGTTGGAAGCTTTGGGAACTAGTTCCTTTTGTTTTAGTTCATTCAACTTCACTTGCTCTATTTCACATGTAATTACTTTGTGCTCAATGTGTTTGGCACTGTGCGAGGCAACAGGTGGCATTTGTCAGGACAGACAGACATCCAAAGGCAACAGATCTCAGTGGAGAGAGGTGTGGAGCTTAGCTGAGGAAGGTGACTGTACCTCGGGAGTACAATAGAGCAGTGTGGCAGGCTTGGGGGACTCAGCAAATGTATCCCCCAGATATTCAGAGAGGAGGGGGCAGAACATCAGTCAGGCTTGAGCAGCAGGCACACCAGGGTGCAGTATGTGAAACAAGCATGGACGGAAAGTAGCTTGGGGCAGATTCTGAAGCTTTCTGGCATCAGAAACATAACCCTAGTCAGCAAGAGAGACAGGTGGGTAAAGGCACTTGCAGCCAAGCCTGACAACCTGAATTGGATCCCCAGAAAAAAAAAACATTTCATTTAAAAATCAAAAGAAATAAACAGAACAGTACAGAAATGAAAAATATAAATTATAACCACCACAAAAGTACATGCCTTTTCTTCTTAAGGCTTATAAAAGAACAAAGACAAAATGGGTTTCATTATCAGAATGATTAGTGTATACTTGAAAAGCTAACTGTAAACCATGTTCCTTTTTTTCTATTGACCCATCATTGGGCCAGCAAAATGGCTCAGGTTGATAAAGGTTCTTGCTGCCAAGCTATTTGGCCTGATTATGATCCCCAGGCTACACATGGCAGAAGAAGTCTCAAGTTGTCCTCTGCCCTCCACAAGTGCATGGTGACATGTTTGACCACACATACCCATGTGCACACATACAAACACAAACACATGCAATTTCAGCAATTATTAATAAAGAAATAAACTATATACCCAATATTGCTCATCAGGAGACACAACCTGCAGAGCACTGGCTCGCTCTCAGAGTCTCTAAGAACTGCACAGAATTGGTAAGAAGCTTCTAAAACTCTGTAGTGAAGTCCTTATGTGTCAAATGGAGTTCACTTTCTTAGAAAAGACGCTTGTTAGGCTCACAAAAGAGGATGCAGGCATCATTCTCTCAAGTTCTCAGGACCTACGCCTGACCCAGATCCTTGTCCTCTACAGACAAGGGCAATGGATGCCACATCTATTTCATTTCTATAGGACCTCAAAATCTGGGGCTAATTTAGCTGTTGTCCAATAGCCTGACAATAATGGGAGAAAAAAGTCAAAGAAAACAGAAATTCAAGAAGTCAAGAATCAAGGGAGAAATGCTGACATCAGGGTACCAAATCTGTCCTCTGCTGTCACCATCATCTAAAATGCAGCAATAAAATATGATGCCAGTGATGGGAAAGTACTTCTAGTAGGTTTCCTATGCTATCCTGACTTTTTTCTCTCCATTATTTATTGCTACAGACACATAGATGCCTCGTTTTATTAATATAGTTTATTGTGCTGCCCTAATACATACATTTACTTACAGTGGTTACTTCCCACTACAAATCTGAACTGAGGGACTGTACAAGAGACCTTCAGGCACACAGGCTCTAGACTATTATCTGGATGCTATAACGAGAGGTCATGAGGGCTGATTCTTTATGCCTTTACAGAGGAGGAAGGCGACAGGAACATGCTTGTCCCTGACACCCAGGAGAGGATAAACTGTCAATGTGAGAGGAGACCCACACACCAAACCCAAAAGGCCTTGTCCAGACGCCACTAGGTTTAAGAACAGCAACACATTTCTGGGACTCGTGGCATTTTGCGTCACTCACCCATATTGAGGCATTACCCTTCTACAGAAAGTTAGCCAGCCTCTGCTGTATGCAGAAAAAGAAAAACCACCAAGCAATAGAATACTGAGAACAGGTCCTCTTAGCAGATAATCACTCACAAAGCTCACAGCATGCTCAAAACTGAATGCATCAGAAAAGGAATATGGCTAGATCTGGATGTGAACAGAGTATACTGCAACACCGAAGAATGATAATGTGAGAATAAACCACTGGCAGCAAGATGGAGGCAACAACAGGAGAATCATTAGAAGCTCATGGGTCAGCTATACTGTGTACACAGTGGTGAACAATAGGAAGACTATCTCAAAAACGGTAGGGAGCAAGGACCAATATGAGATTGTCCTGTGATCTCCACATACATGTATACATTTGCGGTCTCTCTCTCTCTCTCTCTCTCTCTCTCTCTCTCTCTCTCTCTCTCTCTCACACACACATATATATATATATACACACATGAACATACCATATATACACAAATATTAAAATAAATGATTGTAGTTTCAGTATAAGATAAATTAAACAGCATGGAATTTTCTTTCTTTTTGTTAACAAGGGATAAGTCATAAAAGCAAATGGAAGTTATCCTAAATAGTGTTTCTATACCTTACCCAACTGGAGAAAGAAAAAAATGTATGTCACATTAGTATTCGAATGCATAAAGTTTAAAAATCATGACTGCAAGAGCTGTGGCTTCAAGCCTAACTGAGAAAACATACATAATTACATATACTTTGAATTTTTCAGTATGTTTTTTAGGCTAAAGAGGAAAATAAGCTCATTATTTCTCAAGCTCACATGATATTGAGAAGGGGGAAAAGTTGACAAAGGTTAAATTTGAAAATAGGACACAAATTGGCAAAATCAGGACAGAGATGGAAACTGGAGCCAATGCATAATTTTCTTTTGCATACATAAGGTAACAAAACACACACTGGGAGAAACATCCGCAAAATAGATAAGCCAAGAAGAGACTGAGGTTCGGGGTTGGAAGGTGGGTGTGAGTCTGAAGATTCCCAGGGTAAACTGAGAGAAATTGCAAACATGGGGCAATGTAACTATAACGGACAGTTCAGCCTAATTAGGATTCTGATGGCTGCTCCCTTCAGTCTGAGGAGCCACTATTTATGAAGGACAGAGAAACTACAGTTGCCAAAGGACAATCAGGAAAATGTAATGCCAGTTTCAAAACAGTACATGATTTTAAGACCACATGATCATATCAGAAAGTTGATACTATTCAAATTTTTATTAGGATACATTGTCTCAAAGAGATTATAGAGGCTGGAGACGAGGCTCAGTTAGTTGGTAGGGTGCTTGCTAAGCAGGCATGAAGCCCTGGAGGTCTGATCCCCAGCACTACTTAAAACCTGGTGTGGTGGCACATGCATGTAATCCAGCACTAGGGAATTGGAGACTGTAGGATCAGAAGTTCAAGGTCATCCTACACTACACAGTGAGTTAAAGGCTTGCTCAGTTTACATGAGACTGTCTCAAAGAACAGTGTCAACTTGAAACATAAAAACACTAGATGTCCCCATGCCACTTTTGGTACTATGGTTGTTGGTTTGTTTTTTATTTTGTTTTACATTCATCAGTTTATTACTGAGTCCATTCAGTGGGCTAGTCTCTGTAAGCTCTTTGATCTTAGCAAAATGAGGAGCAAAGATGACATTACTCCAGAGCTCAGAGTGTTGACACAGATTCAATCTTCCTCTGCTTTTCCTTGACCTCAAGCAAGTGACCTGTAAGGGCTTTGCCTTTCCTTCTCCATCTTTGAATTGAAATCTGATGCTAGGATGGCAGAAACTCAGTAAAACAGATGAGCTTCCTTTGCCTGGAACATGATGTTGGGAGATTTCTTCACTGTTGCTTTAGATTGGCATATACATAAAGAGATATTTTAGGGACAGAGTTCAAGGCTGCACACAGAATTCCTTTATGCTTCATACATATATATACCTTACATACATATTCCAAAAGTAATTTGACTTATTTTAATACCTACTATACTTATTTATTTACTCATTTATGTATTTATTTACTGTGTATATGAGTGGGCATGTGCATCACAGCATCACAGTGTTGTAAAAGTCAGAGGAAAACTTTGGGAGTTGGTTTTCTCATCCCAGGGGTGTAACTCGGGTCATCAGGCTTAGTGTTAAGTACTTCTACCTGCCTAGCCATGTTGCCAGCCTATAGGCTATTTTATTCTATGTTCTAAATGACTTTTCACATGAAATACTGACAGAATGTCACAGATGAAAAGGTACAATGCCTTCTAGTAGACATTGAGTAAAGTATGCAAAACACTGCATTCTGGCTGTGACCCAGAATGAAGTCAGCCATCTAACTTTCCATCTGTAGTGTCTTATTGGTGACAAAAATAGGACCCAGGGGACTCCCTGCATTGTGATATTCATTGCTTCTCACTGTTCTCTGAATCTTGAGATGTATGTAAAATACAGTCCCACAATTGCCTATGATAGATCAAGTTCTTGGTCATGACAATTTCATATATTATCATATCCATCCCCATTTCCTCTCTAGTTCACCACAATCATTCCATCCCCATCCCCTCCCAACTTCACGTCTACCCATTTGTGTACAGACACGGGTGGCAGTAGGTGTGGGGCCATCTGTAGGAACGCGGGGAGTCCACCAGTGGCCACACGTAATGTAAGGTTGGAAGGAAGGAGTTGCTGGGGGAGGGACAATCATTTCTGTCAACTGTCAATAACTCCTTTGATAAGCAATGGGGCCCAGATAGCACCTTCCCCTTCTGTGCCAGAATTTTGACTGCATTAATCTTGTGCAGGTCTTGTGCAGAAAACACAGCTACTGTGAGTTCATGAATGCATTGGCCATGCCCAGTGGTTCCTGCCACACTAGGAGATCTGAATGATATCCCTGCTACATTACCCATAGTGCTCAGTGGCTCAGTCTCACATTAATGCTTGAATAGACAAGCACACCTTTGGGGCCTTCCTTAATAGAAACTGAAGAGAAGCTAACACTTAACAGGGCAGATTTCCAGGTCATGTGATTGGGTGTCTGTTACCCCAAGAACCATAAAGTGGGTTACAGACAGCACATTTGCCAATGTCATCTCAATGTCCCTTAACATGTACCAAAGAAACCGGTTTCCTTTCTAAGCATGTCTAGAAAAAAAAGAACCACCAAAACATAATGAAAGGCACCACTGAGGCACACACAGGCACAGTGCAAGTAGTCCTCGAACTCTACATAGGGAACTCCTGTCCATTTGAGGACTTGCAGCCCTAATGATTAACAATGCGCATTCTAGAAGCCACAGACCTGCCAAACATTGTATAATCTGGGGCATACAACCCATGCTTAAGCCAACCAGGAAACATCCGTATCTGTAAGCCAGAATCCTGCAAGCCTTGCTGTCCCATACCCTCAATACTGTACTACAGCTAGAAGTGCACAATGGTCTTCAAGTAACCATGGAAAACAACTATAAAGTCACTCAACTGCATGGCATAAAGGAGGGCACCGTTTATGCCTGACTCTGAAATAGCTGAAGAGCTCTTTCATTGTAAGAGCCATTTTCTAGAGATGTAATTTGCCATCCCCCCCTTCTCCACCTGCTTTAAGAAAAGCACTCTGAAGAAGATAAAAACGTCAGGAAACCAGTATCTTTGAACAATCTTACTTCTTTTTTTCACCCATTAAAACAGGTTGAGTTTCATTTGGAGTTTGTCTTAGGGATCCCCTCCCCCCCCCCCTCGTTTGCTACATATCATCTTGTTGATAAAATGTAAGATGCCTCCAAACAAAGGCTCCATTCTTTCTCCGTCTCTTCCTTCCTAGTTGCAACTTAATGCTTTGTAGAGAAAGAAAGTATGTGGAATACCACTCCCTCCTGATGTGGCTCAGGAAGGTTTCCTTTTTAACAAGGACAGAATTTTTAAATTCTGACACCTGACAACTAAATTAGGGCCTTCTCCTTACTAATACTCTACTCCAAGCACTTGAAGTAAACTCTATATTTTCCTGCATTCATAACCAATCACAATACAAAGCATGGTTTACACGTCCTGACCACCTAGATTGTCAGGATAGGCAACATGGCTGACTATAACATGGAATATTAGAACTATTAGGGTATAAAGACTTGCTGATGTCAGTGGCTATCAAAAAAGATTTAAATCAAAAGTTAAAATGGGGCTCCACAGAAAAACCATTTTCTGTGTAAGCATAAGAACAGATATTTGGACCCCCAGAATCCATGTGAAAGCCAGAGGCAGTAATATGAATCTGTAATCCCAGGGCTCCTATTGTGGGAATGGAAGCAGAAACAAGAGATCCCTGGAATTTCTTAGGCCAGGAAGCCTTCCAATAAGAAATAAGGTGAAGACTAATGCCCAAAGCCATCCACTGACCTTCACGTGCACACTCTTATGTGTCTGTGCATGTGTACACACACATGCATTCGCACACACACACACCATGCATACACATGCACCCACCACCAGATGTTTTTAAAACTAGAACCACTGTCTCCAATGAAATAGCCTCTTTCTCTGTGTCGTATAAGCCATCTGAGTTGGTGTCACTCAAGTAACTGTGATTTCTCCACCAGCAATAGTGGATCTTAAAAAATCAAGCCAAGAAGCTAGTTTCTTTTAAACTCAACACATCACATCTAACTGTGCATCAAGGAGGAAGGTTTCATAGGACACCAGAGGCTTAGACACTCTTGCCCAAGTAGTGGAAGTAACGTCTTTAGAATACAAAGAACTTCAAAATTCCAAGAAATCAACAACTATGACAACTGTAGGGTATTTAAACCACCTGTATCCAGAAATTGAACACTGTGATTCAAAGCTCTGGCATCTGAAGCCCCCTAAGTATCCCTGCACTGATTCTGCACTGAGGGGAGTTGCCAGGCTTCCCATAAGAACATGCTCAACACTGTAAAACTGTGGGGTGCAGAGCACACAAAGGATGATACCCAACAGAAGCCCACCAAGCCCCTGGCTAATGAGTGGGCTGCCTTTCTCTGGATGACTCGTCCCCACAAATACCACAAGAGCCAAGATCACCTAGAGAAAAGCCCAGGCATGGGAAACACTTCACCTTGACCCCTTGTACTTGCTCATGCCAACCTGCCATCTTTTCAATGAACTCTGACCTAGTAGGCACAGATGTACATTGTCATGGTTAAAATTTGCACTGCCCCCACAGACAGTGGGATTTAAACTCTTACATCCCAGATGATTCCCCATATAATGGAAACTAAAACAACTGAACAAAGAAGACAGCAGTTGTCAGAGTCTGGGGGCAGGGAGGACGGACAGGGAGATACTGGTCAAAGGCAAGAGAGGTTCAGAGTTTCTGCCTGGAACGATTATCCTGTTTTGTGGACAGTCTTCAAGGATTTATGAAACCTCTTCAAATTCACTATGGTGTTATATTAGGGAACCTGACTTCCCAATTTCACCCAAATATTCTTGTGTCTTTAAATTATTTTGATAACAAAGGGAAAAGTAGGAAATCTAACATCTAAAAATTTTGTGTGTTTGAGTATATCAGGATTGATCAGTTTGAAGAGGAAGAAGAATCCTAGTTCTTTAATGGATTTCAGGACTTTATCATTAGACATTTTATTAATGTAAATGACAAGGTTTTGCTAGATATCTACTGTGAACCCATATTCCCTGGAAAAAACTACACTTCCCACTGACCCTTCTGCAAGGCTGAGTAATTGATGGGGACATCAGTGATTGTGGTGGAATGGAATGGTACAGGACTGGAGCTTAATTATGATTTACCTTGTGCTATCTTCAGCATCCTTAACAGCCATTCTCACCTACCTCTGAGTCTCACTTAACAGCCTGTAACTAACAGATAAAACCTCTCATAATGTATTACCCTAACAAATCCACTGCTTCCACCGACCAAAAGGTTGAGCACCATCAGATAGCTCCAAGCCTACAGCCGAGCTTTCCTGCTCTGTTGTTAATTGTTCTACTCAGTGTTTCTACTGAAGCATTCGGAAAGTGCTCTGATTCATGACTTGTTTATTCTGTTACTATACAAACTTTGTGAAACTGCTGCTATGTGGGGACATGGAGTTTAGGGTGACCTAAGTCTATGTCCCCAGGCTTTTGAGTGGGCTCATCTCCCCTTTCAGGAGCTCTGTTGCGGCATCAACACTATTCAGGAATGGCAATGACTTGATGAACAAAAATATTCAAACAATTAAAAAGAAAACACATGATGCTGAACGTGCAAACTTGCTGTGTCTTAAAGAACAAGAAATGGAAGTAAACAGGAAGAAATATCATCTGCATCAAGGAGAAAACTAGGAACATACCAGAGGACACTTCCAGTCTTTCCAGTCTGCTGATCAGCCAGTCGAGGGAGCCAGAAAAATGCACAGTTTTTACAATTTCCTCTAATTAGAGCCGCTGCAAAAGAAGAACTCACATTAATGTGATTTTCAAGTTCAAGTACCAAGGTAAGGTTGCAGGAGGCACAAAATATGGGATGGAGGGAATAAAGCATCTTCCAGTTTCATCTAAACTATGCAAATGCAACTACATCCATATTCACACACACACACAAAAACTGGGTATTTTTGAAAATGTCTTAGCATCTTCGGGAGGGGACTGAAAACTCCTCTTCTCATTAGAAGGCAAATAATTCCTAACATGCATTTCTTTTAATTAGCCACCAGAATGAACTATTTGATCTCCCCAAAACCCAATTTTCACACCTATACTCCAAAGAAGTTAAGAACGTACCAGATTGCCTAAGACAAAATAAAAGGACATACAGCTAGCAGCTATGATTCTAACAGGTATGCTGGGAGATGTAACTAAATGAAGCAAGGAGAAAGGATGGCAGGCCGACAATTAATAACGTTGTAAGCCACTCACGTGTATGCACCTCTCTTCATTTAGAAGTCCACAGCCATGTAAAAGACTGGAACAGCTTAGAGAAACCTATTTTAACTTTTCCTAGTCTTGTGATTCTTAGCTTCTTTACTAAAGACTCTTTCTCACATGAAATTCTGAAGTGACAATTATTTCCATGAGGTTATATACTCAAATAAAAAAATTCAGTTTTCCATTTAAAAACTCAGCAGATTCAGTTCTGTGACAGCAAGTCTAGTAATCTTCTTTAACAAAAGTTCTATGCTTAGACCTGTAAGACGGTTCAGAAACAGTGTAAGTGCTCAAAGGTTTTTTTTTTAGCAGCATGACACTTAAAGGCAGAAAGCTATCCCCAGAGGGACAGTCATTGCCCACAGTCTTGCCACACTAGGAAGCAGATTGAAGGCCTGGAGTCTGAGGAAGAACAGGAGGGTGAAAAGCCTACGGTTAGACTGTGCAAGTCACACCTAAAGATGCCCTTCACATCTCCTTCCCAAGCAAAACAGCAAATAAAGCTGATTCATGTTCTGACAGTAAAATAAAAGAAATACAAAGGATGAGAAGTTTCCTCTCCCTCTGCCTGAAGGAAGACTTGGGAGCCTCAGAATAGGATAAAGGGGGTACATGCAATGTCTAGGTCTGGGGACAGGTGCTTGCTCCCAAGCTTGCCAACCCAAATATGGTGGAAGGAATGAACCGAGTCCTGCAAGTTGTACCCTGACCTCCATATGACCTCCACATTGGCATGACTCTGCCTCCCCCTCCTCCAACAACATATAAGGCACACAAATTTTTTTAAACAATCAATTAATAAAGATTTTCCTTTCTAAAAGAAAATAATGGCAGCCATATTCAACATACCAGTCTTCATCTGATGACCATTCTCACCTCCAAAGTGCAATGTAAGTATAAGACAGAATTCTTCCCTAATGCTAGAAAGACACAATTCCTACAACGTTCTTTAACTGCTGCCTTACTGGCCTTAATCTCTAAGGCTTTGAATCTTCCACACATCCTGTTTCCCCTCAGTTCGTCAAGAATTGTTGACATCAGAGTACTGGGCCCTGTGTGTGGCCCTGTGAATGCAAGGAAGTGTAAAATGTGAACCGAATACAGGGGCTTGTCAGTCTTCCTGGGCTGGATCTTAAGTTCTTTTAAATCTAACATCTGCCTTATTAAACCTCTTCACAGTGCAGAAAGTACAAGAGAAGCTATTTCTCAGCTCTACAAAAAGAATAACTGGCTGCTAGTATACTCAATAAAAATATCCAGTGTTTAAATAACTATAATTCATCTTACCTACAATAAAAACATTCTAACTAAGCTCTTAAGAAGCAAATGCAAGTTCACAGAACTAATTTTTATCAATGCTGAATAATTAAAATCTTCAAACTTTTATCTAATTAGAATATAAAAGTTAGCATTCTTAGTTTTCTCTGTGGGTGTGTTGTCCATTTCTTGTGTCTCCTGTCCCCTCATTTCAGGCTTCTCTGGGCTCAACCTTCATCGTGCCCTGCTGGCCAGGGCAAATTAACACCCAACGTTCTGGCTCCAAGACTGTGTGTCTATATCTATGGGAAGTTCAGGGCACTGTCACCCATGAAGGTATGGTACTTGCTGTGTAGCCTAGCAACTTCTAACTCACCATAATTCTCCCTCCTCGGGCTCCTCAGTGCTGGGGTTATAAGCATGTATCACCACACTTGGCCTTATTATTGGAAACTAGTCTTTAAAAATCATTATTATGTGCAGGTGAGATGGCTCAGTGAATAAAGATACTTCTTGTTAAATCTGATGGCCTGAGTCAATCCTAGGGGCTCACAGAATAGGAGAGGTCAGAGTTGTCCTCTGACCTCCACACGTGCTCTGTGGCACAAGTCCACATAGATACACACCACAATAAACACATATAGTAACAAAATCCTTATTGTATTATACAATTTGGTGGCTTGAACAAAATCACCCCTATAGTATCATGCATTTGAACACTCAGTCCCCAGCTGGTGATGTAACCAGAGGAGGTTTAGGAGTGGTGGCCTCGTTGGCGGAATTATGTCACTGGAGGTGGATGTGGGCATTGAGAGTTTAAAGATTCATCTCAGCATCATGTTTACAGTTCAAGATTGGGGTTCTTACACCCCGCTCCAGCAGCCATGCCTGCCACTTGCTGCCACACCTCCCTGCTGTGATGAACTCTTATTAGCCCTCTGGGACTGTAAGCCCCAATAAACTCTTTCTTCTGTAAGTTGTCCTAGTCATGGTGTTTTATTATGGCAACAGAGAAGTAACTAACATACAAGTACTCAGTTATTCATGTCTTATTTCATGTGAGCCTAATTTAAAATAGTGTGACTGAAATATTTTTGACTTAAAGAAGAAAATGTAACATGGATTTCATAGAAGCAGTGCTTTGGATTTTGAATTCTGTTTCTGAGTTATGGGTTTGTCATTCATGGTTGTCTTGTGGTGCTGGGTAATTAATTCCAGACCGCATGCCATTATGAGGGCCAGTGGCTGATGCCCAACAATATACTATATTAACAGCATTTGGGGAACACAAATGTTTAATAAATTGCATGAGGCATTCTTCTTTTAAAATAGGCTTCATACTAGATGATTGTATCCATTTGTGAGGTTATATCAGTGCTCTGGGCACTTTAAGACAGGCTATGCTAAACAATAATGTCTGAAAGGTTAAATGCATCAGACACATTTTCAATGTACTGTATTTTCAAGTTATAAAGTGCGTATGAAGATGTGACTCTTCATCTTCTGAAAAGCACCTGCAGTATTGTGATATCCTGATTCAAACTTTCCCCGAGGAATGACAGCCAGAGAATTACCAATAGATTGAAACTCCAATGTCAGGCCAGGGATCACTCACTCATCAGCTCTATTCATCCAGCACTGGGGACACGGTGCATCCCATATACTGCAGCAGGTAGGTGCTGGGAAGGGGTCCCAAGTCAGAAGCCATCTCACTAGCCTCTCACACTGCAAACGCTCAGCCCACAGGCTCTCACAGCCCAAACAGCAGGGGCTGAGGGAAGGAGAATCCGAGGGTTTAAGAACACGTAGATTACTAAGAAGACACTTAGGATCTATTAAACACTGGAGGTGAAGAATTTAAGAGAGTCTTAGAGAAATCAGGACATTGTCCTTGAGAATTAGAGACCTTGGAAACTACAGTTTGGTGGTTCCTGCCCAAAGATGCCGGAGTAAAAGAAGCACCTATGGAATCAGGTGTTCTCTATTGCTCATGGGAAGGAAATGCCACAGTGAGGCTGCTCTGTGTCTACTCAGTGGGGACACTGACGCAGCAGGGTGGCTTTAGGGTGGGCTTGTGTCACTAGGGGCACAGAGTCAAGGAAGGGTTAACTATGAGTCACCCAGAAGAGGGTAGTTACTGTCTCACCACAGGAATTGTGAGACAGACGGGCTCTTCTATGACATTCCACTATGCCTGCAAGAGAAAGTGGTTCTTAGCTCCTGCCGGGCCTCCCAAGGATATCAGCCTTAATATTCTGTACTGAGTGTACAGCCATATAACCAAGTACTAATAGTGCAGTCTCCCTCTCCTCTCCAGCCTTAACAGATCAGGAGCAGCTGCCTTGAGAAAAAACTGTATCTGTGACTGCCATTGCTATTTCATGGAGATGAGACTATGACAAAATAGTAAACAGGGAAAGCAGTATGCCTTGATTTAAAATGCAAGGCCTATCCAGGACCATGGGGAACAAGACAGGAAGTATCTCTGTCAAAGGAGGGACTAAGAATAAGGTATGCTGGCCCAGGACAAATCCTTATTGACCTGTTTTCTCCAAAGGCCTCACTTCTTAGCTTCTATTGCCTTAAATGATGCCCTTGTGGTGTTAATCTTGCCAGCTTAGCTGGATCTGGAATTAACTACAAAGCAAGCTTCTGGGGATACCTGTGAGGAACTCTCTTGATAAAGTTACCTGAAGTAAGAATAGACCCTGCCAATAGATGTTGGCAGCACTTTCCATTGGCAGTCTAGATAAATAGGAATTTCTACTGCTGCTGGATCTCTTCCCTGTGATCAGAAGCAAGAATTTTCTGGTGTGCAACACATGTTGAAGGCCAGAAGCTCTCTACGGATCCTTCAGACTCTCAAGGGTGAGGCAGCCATGGTTGGACTACCCATCCTGTATTGTGTAAGCCAAGCTAAAAATCTCCTTTTAAGATACACTCATTCTACTGGGCCGCCTCCTCCAGAACACCTGTTCCTAATAGTGTGAGGAGCCGCCCTCGCTATCGCTATTGCCGTTAGAAGATGGCGCTGACATCCACTGTCAGTTGGAGTTAACTGTCGCTGTCAGTTGGAGTTAACTGTCGCTGTCAGTTGGAGTTAACTGTCGCTGTCAGTTGGAGTTAACTGTCGCTGTCAGTTGGAGTTAACTGTCGCTGTCAGTTGGAGTTAACTGTCGCTGTCAGTTGGAGTTAACCGTTTAAACTGTGCCTCTCCCGTGACGTCATCTGGGGTGATGTGCAAACCACCAATCCCGGCTCTA